TCGACAGGAGTCGGCCACAGGGCTGCTAGGGGTGGGGGGGGGGAGGGAGCAAGGGCAAGGGATGAAGTAGGAGAGACACAGATGAAAAGGAAAAGAAAGGACACCATACCCCTGTGATACCGGACACCAGACCAGAGGGAAGGCATCGGCCTAGCTGTCTGGTCCAAGTTCATGGTGTGCCACTGGAGCCCTCCCACTCCTGTTCGTCTGGATTACAAATTGGACGCCCACTAGAAGGGGGAGCAAGGGACAAAGTAGAAGAGACACAGACGGCAAGGAAAAGAAAGCACACTATACCCCTGCTAGGCCAATGCCTCCCCTACTTTGTCCCTTGCTCACACTAACAGCATGAAGTCTCCCGGGCCAGACTGCTAGGCCAATGCCTCCCCTGGTCGTCTGTGTCTCTTCCTATGCTAGCCGATAACAAGCAAACAGAGGGACGCCCACTAGAAGGGGGAGCAAGGGGCGAAGGAGGAGAGACACAGACGGCAAGGAAAAGAAAGCACAGCATACCCCTGTGATACCAGACACCAGACCAGGGGGAGGCATTGGCCTAGCAGTCTGGTCCGGGAGATTTCATGCTGTTAGTATGCAGACACCCAGCATGGGAAGTCCAAGCACCGGCAGGTGCAGGCCGGGCGCGGGTACAGTGCGTTCTAGGCGATCCACAACGCCATCCCTTTACTCCCTAGCCCCCCCCAATTAAGCCCATCAAGCTCTATTGCTCAATTGCCCTCCATCAAACCTCTTGCCGAACCCTTTACTTGCCCCATTACCCTCCAAGGCTACGTCCCCTATCCCTGCCCTAGAGCCCTTCGCCCGACCTTCTTCACCTATATAGTATATGTACCCTAAAATATGCACACCTGGCCCTATCAATCACCCTAAGCCCCATAAGTATTATTATTTTTTTATTTTTCTATTCTTTTTTTTCACCCGAAGCCCCATAAGTATTATTGCTCCCAGCGCATTGCCAAGTATTGCTCTGCCAACCAACCCATGCCCGCACTCCTCCCTTCTATGCCCCCCCTAAACCAACACCTAACCCCTGCTACGGTACTGGCTAGCCAAACGACCTAGCAACATCCAGGCTCATCTCCATGCTGCCGAAGCAGAATCCCATATTGCAGATGACCTCCCACCTGACCCCTCCCCACCCACGCGCCATAGCGCCCCTTAATCCTCAAACACATTCTTTCATACCCTGCTGCATTTATTTACATCTGATTAAGCGTCCACCATGACTAGTGTCCGAATATTTCTCCTGGGCACGGCTCTGTAGCACAGGCATAGTGCAGGATTTCCCATGCCGATCTCTGCTCGTTACGCAGGGTCTATCTATATGGTCCACAACACTGCTTCCCTCATCACCGCTACAGCGAGCAGTGCCTCCTCCTCGCTCCTCCTGATCTTCATTAACGAGCCCAGCAGGGCCCGCCATCTCCACTGCCCACTACTCCCAAAACCCTCTAACCACCGGGCATTCCACAAAGGCATGCGGTTGAGTTTCCACGTGGGTACAGCCATCCACACACGTTCGATTTTTTTTTTGAATTGGCTCTTTGGCGCTTGCCACTATGCCATCGGGACTTTTACCTGATAGATCATCCACAGCAGGCAAGCCTGCTTTTAATCTCGTGAGCCTTAAGAGTGGAGCATTGCTCCCTCCAAACAAACCTTTTGGGTCCATCGCTGTGCATGCATTGCGGGCAACTACTCCCATTTGCTCCATCTTTCCTTAATTCATCAGCAATCTCAATAATCCTGGGTAGGAGTGACTTGTAAATAATCTTGGTAGCATACTTGCAAGCAGACGGACCGGACGAGCGTCCGGTCCGGTCCGCTTTGCCGTGTGCGGCACCCTCCCCCCGGACTGGACGGACCCGGACCGGACTGGACGGGCTGGTCGTCGGGCGCACATTCGTGCGCCGCGCGGGTCTGGTCCGGCAGTCTGCCGCACGTGCGGAACCGCCCGGACGACGTCCGCTTGCAAGTATGCTTGGTAGTGATCATGTGCAGCTGAATCTTCTTCGTCTCTTGCATTGCCTCCTCTAATTCTCCCTCTCTTCTTTGCCTTTGCCTGTTTCCTTTCAGCTAAGCTTCTCCCAGGCCATCATCATCAACCTCTCCTTCCTTGCGAGTCTTGTTTCTGTCACAACAACCCAGCCATTTGCCATTTGATTGGAGAATGTCGAGGTGGCAAAATGTCTTCTTTCCTGTTTTTAATCAGCAGACTCACTCAAAATTTGCAGATGTTCAGCACCAAAAAGAGAATAGGATGTTTTCTTTCTCAGGTTGCTTCCTAACAAGTTCCCATTATTTTTTTTTCTTATCGCCAGTTTCATATGGTCTTTGCCGGCGACCAGGAGTCCTGCCCAGCATCCGAATCATTCATAATAACTAGGACAATAATATTGACTATAGAATAGTATAGATATATTAAAAA